TGGCTCACTGCACTCGCACTTCTACTATAGTCTTGCGTATGCAATACTATGCATTAACCTTCAAGAGGAGGGTAAAATGGTAATTCAGTGTGAAGCCTGTCTCTTATACACATCTAGATGTGTATAAGAGACAGGCTCCGCAGGGTGCAGCGGCCAAGAGGGTGGGTGCAGCAACAGAGAATACCAAGAAAGTAGAGGTACATCAACCTTCACGAACATGCGCAACCATTTGGTGATGTCTTCGCATGTTCGTGAAGGTTGATGTACCTCTACTTTCTTGGTATTCTCTGTTGCTGCACCCACCCTCTTGGCCGCTGCACCCTGCGGAGCTGATTGCTGCAGTGAAGCTTTGCATCTTTTCAAGAATAGAATTTTCCAAAGAAAAAAAAAAAAAAAGAGTTTCCGATCCGAGAATGTGACTCTGTGTCTTTGGATGCCGTGCCATTTCTTGGGCCAAACCAGGCATTGAGGAAAATCTGCATCCAGGCAAAACGGGCATCGAGGCATTGAGGCCAAACGAGGCGTTGAGGGAAACATCAGTTACACTTCCTCAATGCCTCGTTTGGCCCAGATGCATCCAGAATGATCCAGAACAGCCCTGCGGCGGTGAGTATGCCGTCCTTAGAGCACGAGGATGAGGAGGAAAAGTGTTACAGTCTTGATGTGCTCTTCTTCTTTTCCTTTCCTTTCTTTTTTTTTTTTTTTGGGTACCAAAAAAAAGAAAAGAAAAGAAAGAAAGGACAAAAATAAGAGAAAGGAAAATAAGCAATTGCAAGAGTGAACCTCACATTGAGCCAGGAGTGGCCAATCCTCATTCCTAACTTTTGCACCTGTCTCTTATACACATCTAGATGTGTATAAGAGACAGAGCCAGGAGTGGCCAATCCTCATTCCTAACTTTTGCTCTTCCTCCCTTCCCTGCTCCTCTCCATCCCCTAGCTCCACCTCCCCCTGTCTCTTATACACATCTAGATGTGTATAAGAGACAGCCCCTAACCCCACCCACCCTTCCACAAACCCCAACCAGTCCTGTTATCCCGTTGCCCCTTTGGTATAAAGTTACAATAAACAGTTGCAAGTTGCAACACCATTCTTTTTTTTTTTGTTTTCTTTTTCTTTTTGTTGAAAGGGTGGTGGCAAGAAGCACTCCTCCTTGCAAAGTTAAGCCACCGTGCTTGCTCTGCCGCAACTCTCAGGAAGTATGGGGCGGCGCGGTTTCACGGCACTTCCATCCAAGCAAAACAGGTCACACGCGAGGCCCGTTTTGCCTGGATGGATGGATGTCCCTAACGAAACGGCATCCCAGTACTTCCTGAGAGTCCCAGCTGCTGCATGCATGCCGCGACTTTGACTTTCTAGCTGGGAAATCAATGTACTGGTGGTTGAATGCCTGATTTTTTCCCCCCAATTCCTTGGTTGGACGTGATTGAGGTCAGATTCGTCCACGTCTGGCCGTAATTGCAGTCAGATACGCTTTCGAAAGCGCTAGTGTGAGTATGCCCTTAATATATTCCACTTGGTAACCTGCATTCGTTTGGAGCGACTGCTCAGTCACTGAAAGCACAAATAAATTCTAGAAGCTTTTTCCACACTTGGATATCAGAAACACTGCAAAATCACTCAGTTTTTTTTTTTTATTTTTTAGGTAGCCTTATTAGCTTGATTCAAATTCCACTCCTTTTCCCGGAAATCTTTTTTTTTTTTTTTTTTTTTTTTTTTTTTCCCAACAAACCAAAGGCCCTCTGTCGTCATCAATGTTTTTTCAGTCCTAGCTTAATTCAATATCTGTCACTTTCCTATGCCCTTTTGGTGACCAACTTCTCAAAAAAAAAAAAAAAAAAAACCTTTTGGCACAGTCTTTTGTGGTTTCCTTATGGACCCATTCACTCTGCGGAGATTGACTGGATCAGCCCGCCCTCCCCCCCTCTTCCCCCCGCCCAAAAAAAAAAGACCATGTCAACGCCAACTGAGGACTGCTCCTGGGCATTGTACACATCTGTGTTTTACCGTCTCTCAGATCTTAGGGGACATGGGACGCTGGACCTGGTTTCCAGCAGGTGCAGCTTCCCACAAATAGATGGAGAGTGGCCATATCTAGACTTATTAGGCGGGGATGCTCATCATCCCACCCTAGGCCCCAGGGCCTCCTAATATGTCTGTGGCAGCTTTTCTTCAAAAAATAATAATAATAATAATAAAAAAATGGACAGAAAGCTCGATGACAGGGTTTGCAGTAGGGAAATGTTCGGCCCAAGTATGGCTACAATTGTCATGCCTGTTTTTTTTAACGAACGGGCCCAGTGCCCAAGGCTGAATTATATACTCTGCTGGAAACCATGGGCCGCGTCCCTTACAAAAAGAAGGGGGTGGCCCCGTCGGAATGATCCAGGCACGTAAAAAACCCTAATTGGGCGCAATGGGAAACCGAGTCAACTGACAACGAAAGCCCCCAAAAAGGGGCAACCATCCGACGCTGTTTCCACCACACCCTGAAAAACCCACCCCACCTCCCGCGTAACAGGGGTTTGTATCTGCAGGCCCCCAGCTGCAGAGGCAGACCCTGCAAAACCCACCCAACCCCTCGTGACGCAGGGCGGATTGGGAAGCCTAATGCAGCATATGACCTCCTCACGATTTAGGGCAAGCTGCACCACCAGGCGGAGTCAACTCCCTTGGGAAGCATAAAAACATTATATGACCCTAATCGGGCGCACCACCAGGGCAAGCTGCTTTCATTGTCGGTTTCCCATTGTCCTAAACAGCGGTTTCCCATTGTCCCCAATTGTCGGTTGCCCAGGGCAAGCTGCTTTCATTGTCGGTTGCCCAGGGCGCAATGGGAAACCGACAACGAAAGCAGCATATGACCTCCTCACGATTTAGGGCAAGCTGCACCACCAGGCGGAGTCAACTCCCTTAGGACACCCACTTACTTCGGGGGAAGAAGGTAATGCTCCCACTTACTTCCAAAAAGAACGCCCGTTCATTATAGCTGTATTTGGCACAACTTTTGGTCCAGATGCAGCGATAATGACCGGGCAGCTTCACCCGGCTGCAAGGCATATTGAAGGAATGAGGGAGGACGCTGCGCCACCAAGCAGAGTCAACTCCCTTAGGACACCCACTTACTTTGGGGGAAAAAGGTAATGCTCCCACCGCTCACCATATGATGGAGTCTCGGCACAGGAGAAGCTCACTCCTCCGTCACGGTGCTTTGCCAATCCAACGAGTCGTTTTTATTAAAAGAAAAAGAAAAGGGCGACAGCCTCGAGATATCATCATCATGAAACTGGCCAGCCGCAGGTAATCAAGGAATTTTGTTCAGCTGATTCCGTCTGGATTCCACTTCGGTCTGCATTTCAACAGTTTATGTAGAGCTAAGCCGTCGGTTGCCTTCCGCTTTTTGGCAGGGCACTACCATCTTCCCCCGACCACAATGCACCCTCATTTTGGCTGTCCCTGACCAGAAATTTAGCTTGTATACGTTCATTATCAGGGTGTGTTATGTTCAGGGAAGACGGTAGTAATCAATACTCTTTATTACCCAAAATAATCTGGTACATGCTATCTGTCAGAGTTCTATCTTCCTCTCCGGCCATCAATATCGAAAGATTACTGAGTGGGTTTCAGGGTGCAAAACCCCTACTCACCCCCCTTAGCCCAAACTACACTGCACAAGGATATAAGGTTAGCAAAAATCATGGAAAAATGTGGAAAGGAGGGGGGGACTACCCTCTTCACCCGAATAGAACGCCCGGTCATTATAGCTGTATTTGGCACAACTTTCGGTCCAGATGCAGCGATAATGACCGGGCGTTCTATTCGGGTGAAGAGGGTAGGGGTTTTGCACCCTGAAACCCAGAACGATCCTCTCCTGCCCAAAGGGCCCAATTAGGGGCCTAACAACCTCAGGACGTCAGCCTTGGGTCATCTCAGCCCAGCACTCCCTGGCTAATGACTGGGGGCCTTTCTAATCCTGATGCAATCTGGCATGCCAGACTACCTTCTTCCCCCGAATACAACGTACGGTCATTCTAGCTGTATTTGGGGTATTTTTCAGTCTAAATACAGCTATAACGACCAGGCGTTCTATTCGGGGGAAGAAGGTAATGCTCCCACCTACTTCCACGACTGTGTCGAAAACTTGGCTGCAAGGCATATTGAAGGAATGAGGGAGGATGCTGCCGCAACTGTTGGAAGACCCGGCGACCAGGGAAGAAATTCTCCGTACCTGCCTATTTTACATGAATTACCCAAAAAAGTAAGGAGATCTTTGTTCCCCTCCTCTCCTTAACACTGGGCATGCCCGTGCAAAGAAAGCTTTCTTCTTCTTCTTCTTCTTCTTCTTTTTTTTTTTTTTTTTTTTTAAGCAGAGACTAACAATACAATCTCTGGTAAGTTGCTATCTAATATCTAATCCCAGGTCAGCTTTCCAACATCTACAGGCCTACAGGCACAGGCAGGGAACAGCAGTGGCAACAAAACAACCCATCTGCACCAAACTCTCCTTCCCTCAGAATAGAGAAGGTGAGCTCTGACAGTACAGTGGAAGATTCTTGATGGACAAAAGTTGAGTTCAAGGTCACGAACCGGCTTAGCTCAGTTGGCACACCTACACCCCTTTGACTGTTGAAATATGGATCTGAGTTCGAACGCTACAGGAAGGAGATATGT